TAAACCTGGCTAACCTACACTGCTGTATTTAAATTTTTTATCTTACCGTGATGGCTAATGGTTGTACGAATGTTTCGAAGAACAAAAAACCATAAATAATTTAGTAATTTCATACTGTATTGCACTCTTTGCGCACTCTCCACCATCTCCACCGATTCACACCGCGCAAAAGAGAGTGGAGAAAAGTCACACGAGTGGTCCACGGAGTACGGTTTTCGAACGGCCATGGTCGCATGGTCAGTGTGCCCACTAGGGGTTTTCGAACGATCTGAGTGTGACAAAATACACACGGGTGATGTTTTCGAACGCACCCTAGGGCGCGCTCGGCAGGAGAGGTAGGGAAAAAATGTGTGTCGGTATTATCGGACGTGACAGTACCAATGTTCTCGTTGCGTTGACATCAACGTATTTTCAAAAGTTTTTCATTTAATTTTAAATATGGGAAATCGGAGTTTAATTTTAAATATGGGAAATGGGAATTTTAAATATGGGAAATTTCGCTGCAAATCAAAATTAATTATTTGTGATTATCAAGAAGGCCCTAGTTATAGAAATATTGCAAAAAAATATCACATTTCGAAGAATAGTGTAGCAAAAACTTGGAAAAATTATTTAAAACTTAATACTGTGGAAAATTTTAAAGGTCGTGGTCGTAAGAGGTGTACCACCGAACGTCTTGATAAAAGGATTGTGAGCGAATGTCGAATAAATCCAAACATCACACGTTGTGAAATAATTGAGAATATGAATTTAAGTGTATCAAAAAGAACAATGTCTCGTAGATCGCAAGAAGCAAATTTGTATAGCCGTACACCGTTGCAAAAGCCGTTTATTTTTTATATCAATAAGCAAAAACGTTTAAACTTTGCAAAAAAACGTTAAAATGCCTGTTTCTTTCTGGAGGAAAGTTGTGTGGAGTGACGAGAGTGAGAGAGGAGTTTGGATTGTTTAGCAAGAAAAAAAGACAAAGAATTTGGAGAAAATCGAATAAAGCACTCTGACAAAAATTCATCTCGTACAATGTAAAACACGGAAGAGGTTCCATTATGGTGTGGGGCTGTTTTTCTTTGCCCCGTGTTAGAAATTTAGTGTTATTTGACAGAAATATTAACGCTGTACGATATATCGAACTCGTTAATGAAAATTTGGAAGAATCGATAGAAAAAATGGGTATTGCTAACGATTTTGTCTTTCAACAAGACAACGCTCCCATACTTATCGCCAAGTAAACCAAACAATTTCTTAATGACTCTAGAATAGAAGTTTTAGATTGGCCTCCACAAAGTCCGGACCTTAATTCCGTTGAGAATTTGTGGACCATATTCGGCAGTGAAGTATTCATTAATAATAGATCGAATAAAGCAGCATTTTTCGATAATCTACAATCGGAAAGTATAGCGTAGAATAAGATCGAACATTTAGTGGATAGCATTCCAAGGCGATTTAAAGCGGTTATTAAAATTAAAGGAGGGAATACAGGATATTAGAATCAAGGATATTAGAATCAAGAAAAAACTTGAAATATGAAGGTGTCCACTCAATTTTGTCTATATTGTTTTGTTGAATTTTTATTTTTAATGATTCTTATGTAAAATAAACTACATTATTTTGTTAAACCAAAAATAAAACTGGTTGACGATAAAGGGTGTTTATGCCAATTAGGCTGTTTACGTTAAATCAAGTACGAGTTAGTTCCACTAGGGTTGAAAAATGTAACACAACCATCTAGTAACTTTATGGTTCAAAACAACTCAGTACTGCTTTCCGATGCTCGAGTAGAGTTATAGCTCCTGCACACAGGACGCAGTAATGCTTACCGCGCGACGAAAGTTCGTGCGACAGCCAATCAATATGCTGCTTTCTGTAATAACCTTCTAGCTCTTATAGAAAAACAACATATTGATTGGCTGTCGCGCAGACTTTTGCCGCGTGACAAGCATTACCGCATGGAGGTAATGCTTGTGTGCAGGAACCATTAGTTAGAGTTAACTAGAGTAGCATAGCGTATAACGTGAGCATTAGGTAGTTGAATTTCAAAAAATATTAGTTATTAATAAGTTTAATCTTATATAGTATGTTTACACCAAATGTTTAATACCAATTAGTAATTTTATGTTGAATTATTTTGATTTCGGCGATGTATATAAACAACGTCATATTGAAGTAGTACAATATTGATTAGAAACATCGTATTAATTGAATATATTGTATCGCCGAAATTAAAATAATTAGATATAAAGTTACTAATTGATACGTGTATTAAACGTTCGGTATAAACATACTATATGAGATTAAACTTATTAATAACTAACATTTTTTGAAAATCAACTACCTGATGCTCATATTATCCGCTATGCTACTCTAGCTAACTCTAACTAACTCTACTCGAGCATCGGAAAACAGTACTGAGTTGTCTTGAACCATGAAGATACTAGATGGTTGTGCCTATTACATTTTTCGACCCTAGTGGAACTAACTCGTATTCGATTTGACGTAAACACCCTTATGGCTCCTGCACACAGGACGCGGTAATATTTGCTGCGCGGCGGAAGTTCGCCGATCAATATGCTGCTTTCCGTAATAACCTTCTAGCTCTTACGGAAAAACAACATATTGATTGGCTGTCGTGCGGACTTCCGCCGCGCGGCAAGCATTACCGCGTCCTGTATGCAGGAGCCATAAGTTAAAGTTAATTCCACTAGGGCCGAAAATTATGATAGGCACGACCATCTAGTACTTTTGTAGTTTATGACAACTTCTTCTAACTCAATGCCTTACCATAGGAACAAACTGGAGTAAGAAGTAAGGAACGCGCATTCGACATACGGTAATAATTTCGTAAAATCTCACGATTATGTCCATATTTTTTTAACGTGTGGTAAGATTATTTGTATTTTATTAAAATCATACTTATTATAAACTATCATGTGAGAAATCTGAGGTGTAAAATATAATCTTAATTTAAAATAATATGTATACTAATTTACAAGAATTTTGTTTATATTATTCATATAGATGACTGAAGTTACAATTAAATTATAAGTTTTAAATTACGGTTTGAAAATTATTTATTAATTAATAAATAATTATTATATATAAATAATTATATAATTACAGTTTGCAAATTATTTATTAATCCTGTGTGCAGGAGCCAAAAGAAGTTGTCATAAACTACAAAAGTACTAGATGGTCGTGCCTATCATAATTTTCGGCCTTAGTGGAACTAACTCTGAAGGTGCCAATACATGGGAGCGTTCCAGCATCGAGCGTTAAAGCGTTAGCCAATCAACGTATCAGGTTCTAGAAGTATACTTGTAGTTCTTGCGGAAAGTGGCATTGATTGGCTACCGCTTTAACGCTCGACGCTTTATCAGCAATTTATATATCTATATATATATACTATGTACACCACACACACACACACACACACAAATAAACAAAAGATTAATATATATAGAATATATAAATTGCTGATAATTAAGATAATATTAATGCAATGTTATAATAAAATATTATTTCACATAAATTGTAAAATACATGTGAGAATTGAAAATATTTTAACATAGTTATATTCACATAGGAGATATCTAAAGTAAAATATTATGCCAGGTTGCTGCGTTCCAAATTGTAAAAATTCTGCAGCAAAATGGTTTTTAATGAAGTATTTCCCAAGTAATGTAACATTAAGAGCTCAATGGGCTGCAAATATTCTATGAGCAAATTGGATACCCACGAATGCTACTTGTATTTGTGAAGTATGATACTTATATTTACTATAATACTATATTTAATTATTAGCCAACTGTTTAATATTTATATTAAAATTTATGTTATTTCCTTCATATTTAAGGTATATTTTGTACCAGAAATGTGGGAGAAACCACGAGTTGATGGTAAACGAATTCTAAAGCACCATGCCTTACCAAACATCTTTAATCCGACCTCTGAAACAGTTGTTGCATCCAAACAAAATAATGAAATTACGCAATCAATGTGTCAAAGTGTTTAAATGATTGGCACATCAGATCTTACCAGCGATAAAGTTCCCACTCAAATTCTTGAAGAACCGATTGAATCTCTCAGAAATGCAGTTATTCACAATCAACCGAATCCATCTTTATGTGGCCTCGAGTGTGAAACATATTGGAAAAAACAATATGAAAAGCTGAGTGATTTATTTAAGAAACGTGAAAAGACTTATGATTCTGTTTTAAGAAGATGTAATAAGTTTAACAAAATCCTTAAAAAGAAGGTGAAAAGATTGAATGTAGAAAAAATAAGTCAGCCTAAACAATATGTAAAAAATTGCACTCAATAATGAAAAAAATACTCACTGATGATCAAATAAAATCATTGGTGAATAAATCAATATGTGGCTATAAGTGGTCAGAACAAACAATAAAAAAAGCAATTCGACTGAAAATTGCAGGGTAAATGGATATAAAGAACTGTTGCAACAACATATTCCTTTGCCATCAGTGTGTACGTTACAAAAAAGATTAGAAACACTCCACTTTGAAGAAGGGATTTGCAAAGGAATTATAGATATCTTGAAAGAGAAAAAGTTAAAGGTTTTGATGATGAAAGAAATAAAGATGCTATGATTGCACTAGATGAAATGAGTATTACTAATGGAAATCAATTTGATCCATTAACTAAAGCATTTTGTGGGAACAGTTCATTACTCAATAGCAAAGGAAACATTGGTAAGAAATAGTTTTGTTTATTTATAGTATTTTAAGTAACTACAAATATATCCTATTTTCTCTTAATCTATCTTTCACTATCATTCTTTAGAAAGAGCTTTGCATGCATTGGTAATTATGCTGGAATTAGCGCAAGATGGAAACAAGTTGTAGTGTTTTATTTTACTCTTTGTGGCTATGATGGATCTCAATTAAAACCTATTATTTTGAAAATTATTCAAAAGATAGAAGCAATTGGCTTATATATTCACAGCATAACTTCTGACATGGGGTCTATCAATCAAGCTATGTGGTGTTGATATTGGAGTTTCTCGCTATTCTACAATAGAGAATTCTATCCCTTATCCAATTGACAACAATAGACGATTATTTTTTTTGCTGACAGTCCTCACTTGTTAAAAAATCTGAAAAATTGTTCAGTTAACAATAAGGTTTTCATAATACCTGAAGACATTGTACATGACAATAATATTAATTTCTCTCATGTAAAATTTGATCATTTCAAACAACTTCTTGAAATTCAAAAAAATATCATGTTAAAATTAACTCGAAAAATCAAATTAGATGATGTAGCAAATGGTCATTTCAGTAAAATGAAAGTGAATAAAGCAAAACAGTTTCTTAGTAGAGAAGTTAGTTCATCCTTAAAGTTTCTAGTTGACTAAAATGATAAAACGGAATATACAACAACAGCATAGTTCATTGAGGTAGTCTCTAAATGATTTTTTTTAATAACCTCACGAAATCCACAAATAGTGCTTGGTGATAATAGAACTGAGGAAAGTCATTATAAATATATTGCAGCAGTAAACTTTTTACATAAAGTAATGAAACTTTTCCAAAATATTAAAATTGGTCTCGGGAAAAGACGAAATATAAGACGAAAAACTTCCAAATCTGTTCAAATGGAAAATAACAACAATGAAAATTTTATATATGAGTTTAAGCTTGTATAAACTGGAATACTTTTAACTACAAAATGAGTAATCGAAATAATAGATTATTTATTGAAGGAAAAGCATTACTTGTTCGTTTTGACAGGTAGATTTACACAAGATTGCGTAAAAAACTTGTTCTCTTTGATTCAAGCAAGATAACCAATCCTTAATGCTCTTCAGTTTAAACCTTTAAACAATGTTTAAAAGAAATAATCATATCCCAATATATGAAATCTTTATCAAACAGTAGTTATGAACAGGATGATCGTGAATTTCTTGATGGCTTTCTAAATATACAGAAATAATCGGATAAAAAAGTCAACTTGCAACATTACCTCAATTAAATATACCATTATTGAACGTGGATGATGACATTAAACTAAATGTTGTATAGCTGGATATCTTTTATATAATATTTCAAAAACTAACACTGTATACGATCAATGTTTAAGTTCTGCTGGTTCTACCAATATACAAGATTATAAATATGCAAAATTAGTCCAACTAAGATGTTATAAGGAAAATATTTTATTTTTTGTTAACGAAATTGTATTTTAATATTTTCGGAAGATGGGAAACGTCATGCGTATTTATCTTCCGCTTATTACTAATATTTATTTAGATGTTAAAAGTTTATTTTGTTTTAAAATTAGTAAAATTACATGTTCTGCGATAAAAGATCGCCATAATTTGTTATCCAAAATAATGGATCGATTTATTATGTTTCGCGTAAAAATGTGCAATGTTACCGAAGAAAATACTAATACTGAAAAATATTATAATAGCAAATCTGTGGCGATGCATCTAAAAATTAAATAATAGATAATTTACGTTATATATTTAAAAAATTATAAGAAAATATATTTATTTATATATTTTATAGATTATTGTATTATTAAATATATTTTCTTTTTATTCTTAATATTTTGCTTATTGAAATAAGTTAATTTTTTTCTTTTTCAGATCCTTTTCATGTATTCTTTAAATAAAATATATATTTATATATTATACTATGCATTTTTTATTTTTTGCTTTCTCTTTCTGTTTTATATATCTATAAATTTATTAAATTCAGTTTACGTAATTTATCTTCAATTTTAATTAATTTATCTTTACCGCGCCTTTATCAATAAAATACGATTATTTCATTGGTTCTGCCATATTCTTGCAAAGTCGGCTAGGATCAATCTCGTCGCACTCAAAGATTGCGCATCTCTTACTAGAGGATCTCTAACCATACCTGCCTCTGAGTGTACACGCAGTGTGTTTCCGAACGCAGCCTAAGTAGGATGGATCTTTATTTCTCAATAGAACGGCAAAGGCAGGGTTTTTTATCTTCAAGTAAATTAACTTATTTTTTTTTAATTTTTTTTTTAATTTTATATATCTACTGACACACATATATATATATATATATATATATATATATATAAAATGTATATACAATTATGTACAATAGCGTAATAGATAATTTAATGATCTATTTTTAACGCGTATACCGTCATTGTTATTCGACATTAAATATTCAATATAAATTAATCATAAATATGCATAATGAAAAAAAGATCCAAGAAAATTTTTACTTTGTTTAAAATTTATTTTTCCTTTGAAGATCGAGAAGAGTACAGAATAGAACGATCCTACTGAGCCGCAGCAGCGCTTGGTGCAGAACTAGAAGCCTGCGCTTGTTCTTCACGGATGCGATCCTTCTTGAGCTGTCCCATGAAGGAAGCTTTATCCGCGGCGGTCTGGAAACGACCGTGTCCAAATTTGGAGCTGGTATCAATGAACTTCAAGTTGATCTTCTCCAAAGCAGATCTCTTGGTATGCACCAACAAAGACTGGAAAATACATTTCTATGTTATACAACGTTGTTCGTTCGTATAGAAACACAATAACATAGAATGTGTAAAGTCAGGCCTATCATAATTATTTTCATTATAATCAATATATAACTTAGCTCTTATTATTTTTCATCATAAAAACACAGTGCAACGTATCGGATCAAATTCTTATTAATATATATATATCCTCACCTTCCTTAGCGTAATCACGCGTTTCTTCGGACCCATGCAGCATCCCTTGATCATGATGAAGTCATTATTTACTTCACCGTAATGCGGAAAGCCACCCATTGGCGTGATGGTCTTTTCGGTAAGATCGTATTCTGTTGAGGCGTTGTTCTTCACGATCTATAAAAGACGAAAACAGTGTGATTATATATAAAATAATAATATTGATGACAAGTGACTTTAAATGAAGAATTAATATTTAGCTTTGTAACTTGCTTTGGAGGCCTAAAAAGCGCGAATAGGTCCTTTTAGGTACTATGTGCGAGTAACTTTAATCTACCTCTTCGTTGAAATTTAAGAACCAACCTTACACATGATTGGAAGATTGATTCGGGGAGAAGAGGAAAAAGTAAGAATTTCTCGAATTTCTTTATCTACCTTGCCGTCCTTAGTGTGTATGCCTTGGCCAATTCTGTAGATCTTCTTGTTCATCTCAGTACGATGGTGATATCCCTTTTGACCAGCGCGCGCAACAGTGAACGACACGCGGCTGGGATGCCACGCACCAATGCAAGCGACCTTTCTCAGACCCTTATGAGTTTTACGCGGTAATTTCTTCGTATGCCATCTAGACGTTACACCTGAAAAAGGAAAAAATGTCAATTTATGAAAAATCATAGTGCAAACGGAAATCAGATTTGACTTTATAAACAAGTTAGTCTTCTCTGGTCAAAGGACTTCAGTAGGAAGGCAGCATGGTACTATCTTCAAGATAATCAGATAATTGCACGTCATGCTATTTTCATCATATAGTCCTAGGTATAGTTTTCTAAAAGCATGCTTCTCGGAAAGGGGGCAAAAGGAAGCTCGCAAGCGCGGTTCCGTGACAGTGAGGGGTTTCGAGCAGCACACACAAATTGTATATAGTATGTGAAAACGTGTACCTTTGTAGCCCTTGCCCTTGGTGACTCCGATCACGTCGATCATCTCGTCACGGGCAAACACGTTGCTAACAGGCACAGGTTTCTCCAGATGTTCACGAGCCCACTGCACTTTGTCCTCGATAGTGCCTCCATTCAACTGAATCTCCATGATGTGAGCTTTCTTTTGGCGTTGTCTCAACAGTTTCATCTAATGGATAACATGTGAATAAAATCAAATTATTTTACCACTTAAAAATATCTGTTAAATAATATTACCGCATACACATTATCCCTATTATCCTACCTGAGTATGAGCGATGATGCGTACAACACTACAGTACTTCTTGATTTTCTTCAAATCCGCTTCGATGGACTTGCGACCGAGATCGTCCTGCCATTTCTTCGACGCTTTGGTGAACGCCTTCTTCTTGCTCTTGTACCTATATAAAATCTCAATGGCAATATCCATCTATATATCCCGTCCCCTGTAATATACTCTGTAACGTGCCAGTCTCATCGTAACGATCGAAGACTGAACACATTTCTTGGACCAGCCACATTAAAACTCAAGGCTTTAACGGCCATATCCAAATAATTACTCTCGTTATACAAGTGGAGAGCTGAAGTGATATTGATTTTAGTATCAAGTATATAAATGATACATAACAACTCTATATATAACATTAAAATAAACCTGCACTGCATATATCATATACTATATCTATTTTTATATCATATATCTATTTTTACTTATAAGTTTAAATTTTAAATTTATATGATGAAAACTTGTAAACTTCTCTTCAACTAACCAGTTCTTATAGAAACGTCTGCGGCAATCTTCCGACAAATGTTCCGCCCAAACAGTAGAAAGTGCTCTAAGCCCATGTGGAGTTTCAATGTATCCAACGATACCGACTACGATCATTGGTGGTGTCTCGAGAATAGTAACTGCCTCCACAATCTCTTTTTTATTTATCTCTGAAACGCAAGTAAGCGGCGATTGTAAAAGTAGCTTATACAATAAAAAGCATGATTTTATATATATATATATATATATATATATATATATATATATATATATATATATATAATTAGGAGGAACTGTACTAAGTATGGTTTGTCTCAATTGTCACTGTCCAATGGACTACAACGAGTTTATGGAATATACTTTGCTTCTATGCATTCTGCATAATGCAGAGCACAGTGTTGCTTTACGACATGGCAGTTAAGAATATACTGCATTGAGAGCAGCTCTCGTACTGCAACTCAGGAGAATCAACCTGCGTCGATCAACCCCTGGTATTACACGTCGTGAGTTCATGTATTGAGTGAAACATTATGAATGATGACAAATATCTTTAACAGTTTTACAATATATATAAAAAAAATCATAAATATTTTTAACATGTTTTCATGCCACATAGCTACCAATAGTCCACGCTGAACTTTTTGTTCAAGTTGTTTAATATTTTGGCTTCAAAATAAAATAGTTATGAAATGTTACAAGAGTATTAAAACTTATTATAAATATATTATATACTCAGTATTAGTATTATATATTATACATAATATTAGTATTATATGTAATCTTAGTATTATATAAGGTAGGAAAATGACTTTGTTCACACCTTTGTTATCTCAAACAGGAAAATATTACCTATAAAAGTTTAGATGGAAATGATTACATGGTAATGATGATTCCTTTGTAAGTGAAGGTTTATAGGATACTTTAAAGTCACATATCTTAAATTCTTTTAATAAAATTATAGTTTATTTGATAGTATATGAGTTTATTTGATACAATTCAATTCTTTGATTATTATGTATAGAAAAGTACTTTGTTAAAATCATTGAAAAGTGAATACTTTCTGATGATATATTTCATTTTAATTTATTACTTTTCTATACAAATTGCAAAATATATCGTAAAAATATTCAATTTTCAATAATTTTACTTTGATACTTTTATACATAGAATGATGAAATAAATTTTATAAAAAAAAATTCAGTTGATTTTTGCAAATTCATTGATGCATCAATGTGTAAATATTAATACCACCAATCGATTTTCTCATTATTCCGTGTACAAAAAAAATATTTAGATATAGTTGTCGAAATTTTAATAGTTTACAAGATATTTCAAACTTGTTCCAAAAAGTACTAAGGCAAAGCTAAAGATATTTCGGAAATTTTCAATAATTTTATTCCAGCATTTTTTCATATATGCATGATCAGAGTAATTGATTTGAGCTAGAAAAATTACATTAAAAAATTTAATCTAACCTTAAAATCTCCTATATACACCCACTCACAAAAAAATCATTATTATTACATCTCCTTTAAAACTACAAAACTGTTGTAGGCAATATTTTCCCATATATTGTTCAAAATAACAGATATTGAACAGTTATGTATATATTTACATATAAAAAAATATGATTATAATATATTATAATATATATTATTATAATAATGTTATTTATATATTGTTACATGAAGTTATGAAGCATGCGTGATGTTATATTTAGAAAATAAAATTTTGTTTGCAACGCAACAACATGGACCACCAGTGACTCACACAACGTATGCGAGTCACATAAAATTAGTCCTATACAGCGCATGCTAATAGAAAATATCAGAAATTGCTCTAATTTCATGTTTAATATTTCGCTCTGATTCTATATCATCCTATAGATTATTTACTTATAGAAATTTTCTTGCTAGCAATTTAAAGTAATCAATAATTACTCACTTGATCCTTGACGATCAGCTTCTCTTACGATATGAGTCATACCAGCTTTATAACCGATAAAAGAAGTTAAATGTACTGGTTTGCTAGAATCATCCTTAGGAAAAGCCTTCACCTTTCCACGATGTCTTTGAGATCTCTTCTTCGGGTAGAATCCCATCGACCCATGTCGAGGAGCGCTAAATTTTCTGTGCGACTGTGAAGCGATAGAAATACTAAACATGTGACACATATGCAACCTATAAGTTTTTTCCGAAAAATATAAAAATCAGACCGCCCTAGAATATTATCTTCATGGTTATTCAGTTGAAAACCATAAACACTTTTTAATCTAAATCATCATTATATTATCAATCGTAAAGTACGCAAGTTGCCACGTGAGCGCATGTTGCAAAATCATTGCCTTATTTTGTTCATGAAAATATCGATACCGATTAAATTTTTATAACATATATTACTTTAATTATATAAAAATTATATCTCAAATCTTAACTACATTAAGATAAAATATTGATGTCAAGAAATACTGTAGATTTTAATGGATTCTAAAATAAGAAATATGATACCACAACTTACCATGACGCTGCCAACGAAGAAAATGGAGGAAGCAAGGCGTGAGGACGCCTTTTATACCATAATGTGAGAATACAAGAGATGCATCCAGCATTACAATCGCTCATTGAGCGCTCAGTAAATTCTTGCACCCGATTGGCACATTCTTTTAAATCTAAATATATACACCAATCAGATGTAAGAGTTGACTGAGGGTGTGAACCCATGCGGAAGAGCGGAACGCGGAACGAGAAGGAACCAATCACGAGCGTTTCACAATTTCCGTTGCGTGGAATTCCAATCTCTAGATCCCTATGAAGCGAAATAACTATAATCCCTGGGGCAGTATTCATAGACTAAAGGGACGTCTACATTGGAAGTAAATAGCAAGAAGTAGGAAGTAAAAGTAAGAAATTAACCAACCACAGTCGAATGTGAAAAGAATAATTAACTATGATTGGTCAATTTCTTATTCTTACTTCCTACTTCTTACTGTTTACTTTCAATGTAGACGTCCCTTTAAAGCCCATTTTACAATTGCGTGAACATGGTTGTAAGTGGTTGTAAATGATTACGACACCAATCAGAGTAAAGCAATCAGTGAATAAAACATTCGGATTGGTTGACTCTTACGTTCACGACTACGCTTACGCAATTGTAGAATGGGCTATAGAATGTTTACGATAAATCGAGTACGAGTTAGTTTCACTAAGGTCGAAAAATGTAAAGCCAGCGGCACACGATGCTTGTTTTCATGTTGGATTACTTGCTGGATGGAAATACTCTGTTTTGATTAGTACATTTCGGAAGATGGACCAATCAGAATAGAATATTTCCATCCAGCAAGCAATCCAACACGAAAACAAGCATTGTGTGCCGCTGGCTATATAAACACAACCATCTAGTATCTTCATGGTTCAAAACAACTCAATACTGCTTTCTGATGCTCGAGTAGAGTTAATTATGGCTCTTGTACACAGGACGCGGTAATGCTTGCCGCGCGGCGGAAGTTCGCGCAACAGCCAATCAATATGCTGCTTTTCGTAATAACCTTCTAGCTCTTACGGAAAAACAACATATTGATTGGCTGCACGCGGACTTCTGCCGCGCGGCCAGCATTACCGCATCCTGTCTGCAGGAGCCATTAGAGTTAGCTAGAGTAGCATAGCGGATAACGTGAGCATCAGGTAGTTGATTTTCAAAAAATGTTAATTATTAATAAGTTTAATCTCATATAGTATGTTTATACCGAACGTTTAATACGCGCACCAATTAGTAATTTTATGTTGAATTATTTTGATTTCGGCGATGTATATAAACAACATCATATTGAAGTAGTGCAATATTGATTAGAAACACGTATCGTATTAATTGAATATATTGCATCGCCGAAATTAGAATAATTAGATATAAAGTTACTAATTGATACGCGTATTAAACGTTAGGTATAAACATACTATATGAGATTAAACTTATGAATAACTAACATTTTTTGAAAATCAACTACCTAATGCTCATGTTATCCGCTATGCTAACTCTAATGGCTCCTGCAGACAGGACGCGGTAATGCTTGCCGCGCGACAGAAGTCCGCGCGACAGCCAATCAATATGTTGTTTTTCCGTAAGAGATAGAAGGTTAATACGGAAAGCAGCATATTGATTGGCTGTTGCGCGAACTTCCGCCGCGTGGCAAGCATTACCGCATCCTGGGGTGCATTCGAAAACACTGAAAGTTCACGACGGAAAGTGGCTGTGGTGGATGGGCTTGGTGGGGTTAGTGGAGTTGGTATCGAGAGAAGTTTTCGAACAGCCATGGAAGAATGCTCAATGTGACATACTACATGTGTGTTGTGCCTACATATGTGTTGTACAAAATGGCTGATCGAAAGCGTATTTCGACATTAGCTATAATTGCTTCTCAGCAAAATAATAATAAATTAATAAATTTAGTAATTAATTAATTAATTAATTTAGTAATTATTAATTTATAATTTAGTTATCTGGAAAGTTAATTG